TTTTTTTTTTTTTTTTCATGTAACCTGCACTTGAAAACATTAAAATCTCGTGAATGACATTATCTCAAGTATTGAGAAACAATTATTAAGATAAATTAATTAGGTAAATTGCATGATTGCAACATTCAACACACCGAAAAAAAAATAAAAAAAATCTCCACATGCATCACACATTAATGTTTAGAGTGAACAGTATAATTTGTATTCTTAAATTTTGATATAGACATGGCATCAATAATGCTACCTACAATATTTTTACGAGAAAAACGTTTGTACAAAAACTGAGGAAAATTAATTAAAAGAGTTAAAGCCATGAGGAATATGAAGATATAATTAGAGCTAGACAGCATTATAGCAATGCATATTTCATGGGCCCTTTCAGCATGTATAACTTGCTCATTATCCACCCATCGGTCAAGTGATCCGTAAATCTTTTTTTTTTTTTTTTTAAATAAAGTCGACTAAGCTCAAATTAGTGTGACATATACTGTAAGATTAAAGAATCGAAGCAAGAGAGTGTGGTCTCACGTAGCTGAAGTGTACCATAAGAGAGTGAGTCTTAGTACACTTTAGTGAAGTTCATCCAAAAATCAATTGGTGATAAAAGGAGTAGCCCACTAGGTTTATATAGTAGACTCATTTCTCCTATAGAATCAACGTGAGACAACTTACAAGTGATACTCCAACACGTCCCCTCGCTTGTGATTCCTTCGTAAGATCAAGTTCAGAGCAGACCAGATAAAGATAGAGACCCATGCTAGAGTTGTCCTGACTCTAATACCATGTAAGATTAGAAAATCGAACAAAGGGTGAGGTCTCACGCAGGTGAAGCGCACCATAAGAGAGTGGACATAGGTACACTTTAGTGAGACAACTCACATTAAAATCGTGTAATTATAACCTTAGAAACCGATAAATGTCTAAATATATATAAACGAGTCAACAAATCAAACTATGAACAATGTTATTCGAGACCTATAATAAGGTAAGAGAGTCGAACAATTAAGACGCTCGGAAAGTAAAACTGTCGAATTGAAATCATTCTTTTTGCTGAAAACTCATTTACTAATCACTAAGTTAATAACATTGGAGAATACTACCATCCCGCTACGGGAAGGTTCCGTTATATTTTTTAAGCGTAAATTATCTACACATTACTAGATTACATGTATATATACGACTACAAAAGACAACGGAACCATCCCGTAACGGAATGGTAGCATTCACCAATAACATTATACTTATGATATTTCGTTAATCTCGTTTTTACATTTCATATTACCTCAACAATTAAATAAAATCATATGTAGATTTTTTTTATGATAAATTTTAAAAACAATGTGATGTAAATAGAATATTTACACATCTATTATGTTAATCTATAATTAATCTTTTTATTAATACTTTTATCCATTTATTTTTTATGTATTTGCAGTAACATGTACTTACTAGTAATTCCTTCATTTTCAAATAAATTATTATCAAACTTACTTATTACTTATATGGGCGGAAGACCAATTTGAATGATAAAGTACTTTTTGGGCCAACGGCTATTACTCTAAATAGTTTTGGGGCAACGGTCAAGCAATGATGTTCTCCGCCTCAAATACATATTTATTTGGGCCAACTTAAATACAAAGCATTCAATTAAAACCCAATTGAAAAAAAATAAATAAATATAATTAGATTTTTTAAATTTGGTGAAATTAACTGAGTAGTAGAATATTTTTATAAACTCTGGTGATAATCAAGTTTGGACTCGAGTTTTAATAGAGTCGAGCCGAGCCCGACTAATAAAAATTATATATTTTTTTAACATTAACGAGCCAGAATTGATTGTTTCATTTAAAACCCTTTTAGTTAATTAATCGAGTTCATATTTCGGCACTCAAATTGCATCAATTGCACTTAATGAAAGTCAAGGTTGTGGTAATTCATGGTCTTGCTTCAACAAAAAAATACATTAACTTTCACTATTAACATTCCACACTTTACAAAAATTACTACTATCAAACAATATGAACTTACTACAAAAGTTATAATATTTCATTTTATCCCAAAAATTTTGTCAGATTTTCAGCTTTTTCAATAATTGTGCTGCCTTTATAGCCTATAGGTAAAAAAATCCAAACGTTGGCACCATTACACTTTTTTCTTCCTTCATTTTTTTTTTTTTATATAATTTTTATTTTTCAGTAATACTACTATTAGCAGGTTTATTAAACTTACACTTATTTCATTCAATAATTAACCCGTCTAAAATATAAATAAAAAATAATATATTTAATATTTTATTACATAATTGACCCTCAGTAAAATTCAATGCCCAAAACTGACAAAAGGCCAACACTAACGTTAAACTGCTCAGTCTTTGCTCTGCTTCAGTTATCTCTCAACAGTCGACACAGTTCCCCACTAAAACACACACACACCATTGTCAAATTCAGCCCTCAAAAACCCACTTTTCTGAGCTTCTTAGGTCACATTCCTTGTTGGGTTCTTCCTTTCCTTGAAGATGGCGACTGAGAGCTCTCAAATCCTTCAACCCCAAACCGTCGATTCGAGCCTCAGAGGTCCAAACCCTCCGGCAAGAACCGAGATTGACACGTCGGCGCCGTTCGAGTCCGTGAAGGAGGCGGCGAGCCGCTTCGGCGGCATGGGTTTCTGGAAGCCGGCCTCGCACAAGCCGTCCGAGCAGGCGTCCGAGGTTGTCTAGGGGCTTTCATTGTGATTTTTTCCTGCTTTGTTTATGTTTTTGTTTATGTGTTTTGTTTTGGGTTGTTGTGGGTATGACTGAAAAGGGCTTTGAGAAAATGGCATAGTGATTTTCGTGCTGAATTTAGTAATTTTATTATTATTATTATTCAGAATGTAGCTGTGTGTTTATTTTGTTGCTATTTGATTTTTGGACAGTAGTTTTTGGTTTTTTGCTTTGCTTCGTGAAGGTCTTGAGATTTCCGTTTTTATCTTGGTAAAATGTGTTGAATTTGATCTCATTTTTGGTAGTTTCAGTAGCTGCAGAAGATAAAAATCTATTCTTTTATCGGCTTTTTGTCATCCACATTATCTGCTTGATGATATTCAAATGGAATTAGCAAATAGGAACTGCACGCCATGTATGGGTTAGCCATTTCGTCTCTTTCTGTAATCACATTGCTTTACTATAGTTGCGGGGACGAACTGTATGTATATGCGTGAACTTTAGTGTGTAAAAGTTAAAATAAAGTGATTCTTGAAAATCATCAGTAATTTTAGTATTCGAATTTCAAATTATTCGCAGTTAGTCTTAGCCAACTAGCTTCAAATATCAACTTTCTTTATGGTTTTTGTTCATTGGCCAAATATCTACTGATGATTCTTGTATTCTTTTGCTCAAAATATCGGTGTAACGAAGTGGAAAGATGAGAATCTCCTTTTGCATTGAAATTTCATTTTTTTCATGCTCAGAATTGATTGAAGATTTATTTTTCGAATAAGATTCTTATTCTTTTTCCTGCATATGACAGTATGAAGATGAAATAGTTGACGTCGTCAAATTGGAGGAGGAGGCTGCACAACTAGAAAGAGATCTCATCGCTAAGGAAAGAGAAACTCTTGATGTCCTTAAAGAACTTGAGAGCACCAAAAACACAGTCGAAGAACTTAAGCAAAAGCTGCAGAAAGAAACATCCGAAATCAATGTGGCCCACGAAGCCTCCCAAGAAGAAAAGAAAGAAAACGAGACTGACGGTTTGATTAACCTCTGCCCCTCATCGGCCCCCGGTTTTATCCTGCTCGAACTCAAGCAGGCGAAGCTGAACCTAACTCGGACCACCAGTGACCTTGCTGGAATCCGAGCCACGATCGGCTCGTACAACAAGAAAATCGAGGAGGAGAGAGCCTCCCTCGAGAAAACCCGCCAGAGGCTCTCCTCAAACACCTCAAAAATCTCTTCCTTGGAAAACGAGCTCAGCCAAACAAAGCACAAGCTGGACGAGGTGAAGCGAGCTGGCGGCGGGTCCCACACAAATATTTCCTCCTCAGATGTCAATCGACAGCTGCAGCAACTGAGCTCGGAGGCCGAACAGTTCAAGAAAGTCGGTCAAGCCGCGCAATCGCGAGTTCAGAAGGCAATATCTGAGATCGAGCAGACAAAGAACAAGATCAAGACGGCCGAGATACGGCTGATTGCTGCCAAGAAGATGAAAGAAGCCGCACGGGCCTCCGAGCGTGTGGCGTTAGCTGAAATCAAAGCCCTGTCTAAAAGTGAAGAAAAATCCGAAAATGTAGTAACTCTGACTGTAGAGGAGTACTCGTCCCTAGTCTCGAAAGCTCGTGAATCGGAGGAGATATCTAAGTGCCGAGTGGAGGCTGCGATGGTGAAAATCGACGAAGCAGATTTGTCCAAGGTGGAAATCCTGAGAAAAGTCGAGGAGGCAACAGAAGAAGTCAAAACGAGCAAGCTGGCCCTGGAAGAAGCATTATCCAGAGTGGAGATAGCAAATCGGGACAAGCTAGCAGTTGAGGAGGCTCTCCGAGCATGGCGATCGGACCATGGCCGTAAGCGGCGTCCGGTCCAAAACCCGACTAAATTCAAGACCTCTAGTGGGCTGGGCCGAGTGACTGTTGTTAATGATGGCCCACAGCCGGTTCTGAAGACTACGCTTTCGATTGGGCAGATTCTGAGCAGGAAGCTGATGCTGACTGAAGAGTATGAGAACGGGAATGGCAAGGTGTCGCTTGGTCAAATGCTCGGTCAACCCACCAGCGGTGACTTGGTGGCGTGCAAGAAAGGAGGGAAGGAGAATAAAGAACAGCTGCCCGTGAAGAGAAAGAAGTTTGGGTTCGCTCGTATATCATTGCTCGTGTCAAAGCAGAGCAAGAAGAAGAAAAGAAGTTTGAGTTCGAGCTCAATGTGTAGGGGAGCTTAAGAGTTTGGTTTGCTCTACTAACTTATTTGGTATCTTATTATCTGTTTACTTATGTTGTTGTCTTCTTAGATATGTGGGGGAGCTTTAAGTGTGTGCTGGGTGTGCTTAAGTTTGTTGTGGAGGAATAGGTAGAAATGCAAATGCATGTGTGGTTTGTGAAAGATCATGTATGATGGATGTTAATTAACTGAATCTGTTGTGCTCTATTTTCTGTCCATGTAATTTGTTGTTTGTTGATTTTGCCAATTTGCTATTTTGTTCTTTGATTCAAAGACAACAAATTAGCAGAAATTTTCTTACAAGTGATTTATTTTCACAAAAATATGTCAAAAAACATGTTCTTACTAAAAGCCTAATGCCAAATTTTCAGGTCTTTCTCACATAATGTCATGACTTAACAAGCTTCTCAACTCCAATATGTGCTTGCCACATGTGCTAGAATTATTTTTTAATATATTTATTAATAATTATTTTATTTATTTATATGGTAAACTGTAGGCTTGATATTTTTGAACTAGAGCTAATGGATAAACTTAAAACTTTTTTTTTTGGGAAAAATATTCTTGTTTGCTTCAATCAAGTTTGAGTGAGTATTTGTCACTGGTGGGGCCCACCATGCAATGTGACATGTCAATCTTTCATTGGCCACGTCAGCTATATAGAGTTGATTAGTTTCCTTGTATGTTATGAGCTTTGACTTTTGAGACAACACATTTGGCTCAAGAAAATCAAGAACAAAGGTGCATCTCTCTCTTCCCTTTCTCTCCTGAAATAGCAGCCTTTGTCTTAAGATAAGGTAAATAAAATCTCTCTTAATTATTATCTGTTTTTTGTTTGCTTGTTCAGATTAGCAACTGTTCCAGTTTACTCTCTGCTGTAGTTTTCTTTTTATTTTCTGTGCGTGAGGGAGAGATTTTTTTGTTTTTTTTGGTCATCAAAAACAAATTTTTGTACATGCTAATTAATCAAGTGAAGAGCTTATTCCATAGATTAAAAGGGACTCCTGTTGTGGGATTCAGTCTTTGGTTGAACCCCAGTTTGGATCTTATCCTGTTGGTCAATGCATAAAATAACTTATCATTAAAGAAAAGGGCATGAGGTTTTGTTACTTTGCTGGGGATTTGGTATGTTGTTGAGTGTCAACTGTTTTTTCGGCAAGTTGAAGTTTTTTAGGCAATCGTAATTCGGCCGTCGATTGGCTCGTAATGTTTTAGACCGAGTTCAAGCTCCCATAAGGATCATCTTAAAGTTCCTAAGAGCTCCCATTTGAATGTAAATTGTGTGTTTTTCTTCATATGCACGAAAAGATAGGTTCTGCAGATGAAACATAGAACAGAATTCTGTTATTTCTATCTTTTTTTCTCATGTGAATTTCACAATTTTTGCAGCATGGATACAAGGATTCTCTTATTTATACTCATAGTCAGCAGCTGGAAATGCTGTAAAGCCCGAGACTTGAAAAGTGATATCGATACAGGTAGTTTATTCGGTGATGTCCGATTTCAGCATTGCACGTTGAACTCACGCAGAAAGTTTAGGGATTAACGTTCGGTATTTAAGTTTCGAAACTTTCTGAAAAAAGGTCTGATCTTGGCATCTTCTAAAAGTAAAAGATTATTTGTCGAGCTTTTTTAGCAAAATGAATTCTTTTGATAACAAATGCCTCATCTTGTGCTATTCTACCAGTCATGCAGTCTCATGAAAAAGACGCGAGACTGTGTACATTGTGTGAAGAGTTTGCTGGTCAAGCTCTTAATTACCTCAACCAGAACAAAACCCAGACAGAGATTCTTAATATACTTCACAAATCCTGCTCCAAATTACGTTCACTCGAGCCGCAGGTTGAACTTTTCTTTTTTCCTTAAAAAAAAAATATAAATTGAAGTTAGTTATGTTGGATTAATTCTTTCAAATTTCTGGGAATCTTGTGTTTCAGTGCATTGTTCTGGTGGACTATTATGCCCCTCTGTTTTTCCTAGAGGTTTCAAATGTACAAGCTGATGAATTTTGCCGAAAGGTTGATCTATGTGAGGAAGGAGTTTCTTTTTCTCATCTTTTTTCGAAGGATAAATGTGATATCTGCCATAATGTTGTCACAGAGGCTCTACTGAAGTTGAAAGATCCCGATACAGAGGTAAGTCTCGGCAGATTAATTCAATTCAATTAATAGCTTGTCAAATTTCTGAGTTTACGATTTCATTTCCTTTATATTCTGCTTGTTGCTTCAGTTGGAAATCGTTCAACTGCTTCTAAAAGCATGCGACTCGATCGGGAAATCGGTCAAAAAGGTAAACGTGTAATTTTTCACGATGGATTTTAACTTTTACGGGTTATATCAGAAATCATTTGTTGGACCATGGTAATTAACTAAACATATGTTTTTGATGATTTGTTGCATTCTACTTTTGAAGTGCAAGAAATTAGTTTTCGAGTACGCCCCAATAATTCTTGTTAATGCCGAAGAGTTTCTGGAGAAAAACGACGTATGTTCAATTCTGCGTGCTTGCAACATATCCATGCATGCTGCCATTTGATCGATGAGCAATTTTTTCTTAAAGCTATATAGCTTGATCTTGTTAATGTTGCAAAACAATGTTGGATGATTATATTTTATTTAACGGTGTGTATATGAGCGATGATTGATTCGATATAAATACTACGTGATACCATTCGAAGATCGAAAATTTTTTTGCTCGTGTTGTAGTCTTACTATTCGGGTTCTTTCAGCGTCTCGTGTCTTTTTGCAGACTGCAATTATCTTTTTGTTTGAACTGTATATTTGTAGAGACCCAAAAAAAAAAAAAAAAAGAATCTTAATTGTCATACTAAAAGGTTGTTATCATAACACACGATGCATTACAAATATTTTCAAGGATAAATCGTTAAAACTTTAGGACAGTAGAAAGATTTAAAAAAATAGGGGGACATAAAAGGTCAAAGTAAAATCTGGATTATCTTTACAAAATTAAAGAATATTTGACTAATGAACACAAGAATGGATGACGTCGACTAGTGTTCGGTTTGGTGATGAGAAATGTGTGGACGACCTTGATTCTCAACTAGTGTGGGCTCACAAAACAAGAGATGCGTTAGATTTCCTGGACATGTCCTTCGGAGAAGGAGTTGAAACTCAATACGGATGGGAGCTTTTATCCTTCGACAAGGATGGCGAGTGCCGACGGTATAATCCGGGATCACTATGGTAATTAGGTGCATGGATTTTTTATGAATATGGGCTTTTGTTCTAATATTGGAGCGGAACTATGAGGATTGTTTCAAGGCCTATTGTTGGCCTGAGATATTGGTGCCCGGGAAGTGCAAGTGCAATTGATAATAAGAGTATCATTATTAGAGGAATTTGCACTCTCTACTTAAATAATACGAAGATATTACATAATTACTTCCCATATATAATTATTTACAAATTAACTAAATTTGTTCATTTTATTTTCATATATGCCTAAAAATATGTTTTTCATATTTGTACAATATATGATTTGGAATCCTGGTCGGCCGCCGTTGGTGGTGGAGTATTCAAGTATTTGACATGCATATAGTTTCGATCGGATATGTTTTCAATGTTTATTTGATTTTTATTTACAGTTTATTTGATATATATAGTCAGTTTATGTTGTTTTTCGATATTTATATTAATGTTTTTTTTTCATTTTTATTTACAGCAATAACTCATCATATTTACAGTTTATGTTGTTCCACTATGAAAAATAGAATGACTATAAACGCAACATACACTGAAAATATACTGAAATATAATGATTATAAAAGCACATACCCTGAAAATATACTTAAATATAATGATTATAAAAGCAACATACACTAAAAATTCAGTGAACAGTAAAATAAAACCAAAAAAAAAACGAGAATAATTAATTTTTGATGGAAGCATTTTTTCTTTTTTTTTAGCACACGGACGCAAATTGCGGGCGAAAAAGAAGGAGAGGAAGTTGAATTGATATGGTAACTAAATTAGACATTAATGTATACACTTAATTTAATGGGTGTGGTATTGTTGTAATATTTTCCATATCTTGTAGGAGAGATAAAAATTTTCCACATTAATATGGTCAAGAAAGACACTTGTAGCTGGCCTCATCGTGGGTTATTGATGGTATTAAGGAGCTTTTGTGTCATCAGTGAGTAGTGGTGGTACACCATGGTTACTGAGAAGCGAATTGTGTGACAGATTATTTGGCATCGTTGGCGGTCAAGGGCCCGAGTGGGCTTCATCGGTTGGAGCGTCCTCCGTCGGGGGCGAGTTTATGGTTGCAATATGATAGGATGGGTGTGTCTCATCCTCGGTCGGTTTTAGTTTAGGCTCGACGTAGCCTCCTTTATTGCACAAAAAAAAAAGATAAATAAAAGTATAAATTTTAATAATATAAATATAAATATTTTCATTTAAAAACGTCAATTGCCAATAGTATTGTACTAGTACGTACTCCGTGCGATGCACGAGACAAAAATATTAAATGAGTTATATTTTCACAACCTTGTCCGTTTAAGTCTAAAAAGTAATAATGTTATTATCTATCTTCTACCTTTTAATCAACGCTAAGTCTAAAAAATTATTAAGTCGCCCTCTGACAAATATGTATGGAGTTATGTGTTCGTGTCTCATAAGTCACAAACATTATGAATAACATTAAAAATTACTTATTCAAACTTTTATTCATTGCAAATATATTAAAACAGTTTATATAACAATCATTAAATACCACTTTCAATATATTTATAAATAAAAAGTACATAAAATTTTTGGTGTGTTCAAAATTAATAATTTTTTATGGGTACAATTTTAAATCATTCTGACATTTGGTCAAACACATAAGTGTGTTCAAATTTAAATCATTGGTATTTTGGTCGGTTGAAATTTAAATCATCTACCATGGTACTGTGATATGTATTATATATATATATATATATATAATTTTTTAACAAATAATATGTGCTTTATAAAAATAATAATAATAATAATTTCACAAGATTTTAAACGTAAAATTTGGTTTTTAATCACAATATAAAAATCATGGTAAGTTGTATTGAAAAGGTGTTATAAGATAAAATAATTAACTAAAATAATTAAATAAAATACTACTAATTCTAGTAAATAGAATGTCTTTTTACATAAGTATAGATTAGCCATTATTTTCATATATATTTTCTAGCTTAGATACCTCTTCATTCCCTTATTAAGCATAGATAGATACCAACAAAGTTTGGGTATATTTGTCTAAAGCAAAGTTAATAATTTTCAGAATCTTTGAAAAGGAAAAGTTAATAAGTTTTAGTATATTCAAAATTCATATCATTGTTGCTTTTGAAGAATTCTTGCTTACGCAAACCATAGAAGTGATGAGTGTAGTTGAAGACCATAACTTAAATAATTGAAATTTAAGTCTTTATCATCATTTAATGGCTCCAAGATCCATTTTGCTGGAATTTCTAATTCACAATCAACCATAAATAATTCACTTTTAAAATATAATCCAATATTCTTCCAAATATAAAAATAAAAATAATTGAAAGCCACCCGAATAAAACAAGCTGTGTCTTCCCCCAGTTGAACCTAAAATATAAAAAAAAAAAAAAAAAACTAATTAGTAAAATGATTAGGTTGATGAATTGTATTTAAGGTCTTGTGTTAAGCCATATTAGGTTCGGCGTACTCTTTTCAAAAAATTGCATACTTTCATTAGAAAATATCATACATTAAAAAACATCATATATAAATAAAAGTTTAAGAAAATATGAGTATAACTTTATAAGTTTGCATTTTTGTCATAAAGTATGAATGATCGACTCGTCTAACGGTTAGCTGTCTCATACATGAATTTTGCAATTATGTAAACTCTGACGATTAATGATTTAGGTTTGTCATTAGGCACATGTATTTAAACTTTTAGAACGTGAGTAAGTTAGTTTAATAGTTAGAAAAATATATTTTGCAATTGAAAGTCATGTATTCTAACTGAAGTGTCAAACGCTAAAAAACAACATAAATAAAAGTATATCTTTTATAATTTAATTATGTATTTATTATCAAAATATCACAAACCAACCTACTTAATTGTTAAGCCATCTCACACTAAAATTTGTGTTAAATTTTATAACATGTAACTTTCCTCTTTATTTTTATTTTTATTTTTTAAAATGTTAATGATAATTCTGCAAGGGCTCCTTGTAATATTTTGGTCTACATCAGCCATTCAATTTTGTCCACTATATATATATATATAGTCTATATTAATGATCATTCCATGAATTGAAGGAAGTCAAATTTGTAAGGCCATGCGCAATTTGATTTTTATTTTCTTTTCTTTTTATATATATTTATAGGGAGAAAAATGGAATTGTTGAGTTATCAATATTTTATGTTTAGTTATTTTATTTTATTTTATTAAGAGGATCTATATATGTTTAATTTGAATAGTTTAAAAAATTAATAATAACACTTTATAATAATCTCACAAATGATGAATTTACAATAATATGTTACAATCAACATTATTATATATTGTTTTAATTCGTCTAATTTTTCTTTTTGTTTTAATTATGCGTATAAGGAGATCACCATAAGCATAAAATTTTAAACTTAAAGGCCAAATGATACATAAAGTAAAATTGATCTAATTTAGTAAAAAAAAGAAATAAAAAAAAATGAACAAATTATAGAGAAAAACTTATTCTAAAGTCACTTGTTATTTGTATCTCATCATAATTCATATAGTTCCAATTTTGAGCCCAATTACTTTATTTTCTTCT